GTGTTGGGTAGCCCGCTCGCGGCACTTCCTCAGATATTCTTATTCCACATTCTCACACTTTCTCTTGAAAGCACGCAGTAAACCGTCAGCGATAGTTGTAGAATAGATCACATGCTACAAAATAAGATGACAAGCTAGTAAATGAGGAGACATCCATGGACTATCGTTGACAGCGTTAGTCGTCACTGATTGTAAGTCAAATAGTGAGCGAGTTGATAATTTTCCCTTGGGATGAGAAATAGAACTAAGGTGTTTTCGATAGTTAGGTTAATCGAACCGACGTTCCTATGGAAGTCGATTCTAGGGGGAAGCTAATGTAACAGCTCAGGTTGGTTGGTTAAGAGTTGACCCCAAACAACCAAGCTTATGCCAAAACAGTATTGTTCAAGTATTCATTCACTTCCTTATTTTGTATAAGCGTTATATTCCCTAGTATCTTATATTGAATGTTGAGAGCCTTTGTTTGTCTGAACAGATAATCCCACGCTCCACTGTGACTGCGCGAAGATCGAAATAAAGACCTATTCACTACTTGTCTGGTTTCTTCTATCAATAGCACGAGGGTTACCTTAAGGCACGAAAGACTTACCTTTTTTATAAGGAAAATTTCTAATTAGGTATATTTCATCAGGTTAAAGAAAACAAGACAGAGTGCAACCTTTTATGAACGGAAGATCGTGTAAACGGTGATGATTCAGAATAATTGAAACTTTGATATGTGTATTGTTAAAATTAAGGAAATACAGTGTTCGAATACCAACTGGCACTACACGAAACAAAAAGGTATTTGACATGAGAAATTGGCATCACCACCATTGGTTCTCAACATCCCAGTAGACTATAAGAAGCTGTAATTTAACAAAATGCCTTGCCTAACAGACATGGGCTGATTGAAGTTATTTACCTGCCATCGCATTTGGTAGTCAGTAACGCCATTCCCCCTACTTTACTGATATTAAGCTCCCCTAATAGCATGTAAAATCAGAGGCATAACTATTCATAAAATGTAATTAAATAGGTTTTGAAGGTGCGAGATTGTGGTCCTGTCAAATAGTCGATAAAGATAAATCATTGTATGTGTGTGACCATATATGCTCTTCACTTGTCATTATATGGCAAAAATATATGACGTGCATGTGAATGTTTTTGAGAGGGCTTATCTTTCGTGATTCTAGAATAAAAAAGATCTGTTCTGCAATGGTTGAACCATCGTTATGGTTGACTGTGGTAATTATGGATGGTTTCTGAGAGTCCCTGATTTTCCACTAGAGAAGTTTCTAGTTGCATCAAATTTTTATTAGGTTCTGGTCCATTGTATTTTTTTAAGGCTCAATGTGTGTAGCACTATCAGTATCTGTGGAGATCAAAAGAAAACTCAAGATACAGTTATTTATCAGTTGTAAGGAGGGAATACGAAGTAAATGACAATAAAAAATGAATAAAGCATGGAGTTGAGATTGCAGCGTGTGAAATATAAAATTACAGAGGTTGTCTAAGGGTTAAATATTTGTGGTTTGTTACATGGAAACCGGGTGCCAATTGTTTATTTGTTCCCAAGGTTAGGCATTGGATTGTCCACTGTTAAATGTAGCTTGCCTTAGGTGAGCTCCGTTGATTATCTCTATAGGCCGGGATTTAGAACTTTTATGTTTCCTGGCTAGTCGTACAACTCGCTGGGTCAAGAACTGCTTTATTAACCTTCACTGTAGAATATCACAGTTTGCATAATCAGGGTTCGTCTTACCTGAGACATCACAGACAATGATGTTTCCTTTGTGAAGAAACGACTCACGAGATTCATTATGAATGAGACGTTTATGCATTTCTTTTGGACTTTCTTAGTGTTTGTTGGTGTTTTGTCGTACTGGCCGATAGGAAAGTGAGTAATGTTTTTTGGTTCATAATTATTGAGGAATCGTTACGAAGGTTGATCAGTTTTCCACTTTTTCGGGCACGTTGATGTTGGGGTTCCTACTGTTTGGGAGTTAGACTTAGGTTCAGATTCTTGTGAATTTTTTTGGCGGATCAGACAATCCTAAAGGTCGGTAGAGCAAACTATTCATTTACTGATTTCCATGCGTCACCTGAATCGTTAAGCTACTTAGAAAGTGACCCTCGATTTCGTCGAACCCTGTTGACGTGGCCCAAGTCACGCAGAGTTGAGATTTTGAGGACCACGGTTGTATTTGCTAAGTCTATGCTGGTGAACACAAGTTCTCATTTGACCACTTCTGATTGGCTTCCCTTATCAGTTCATTTAACTCAGGAATGCCTTTTCTCAGCAGCTTTGACAATGTTTTACGCAAACCTGCCAGGAGAACAATGGTATTGCTCACCACATCCTGATGATTCATGTTGTATGTTCCACCCACTTACTTGTGATCCACCTTCTAACGAAGTATCATCTCTCAGGATAGGTCACTGAAGTGTTATATAGACACCGGTTTCAATTTCGCTAAACGGAGTTTAACTTCTGTACTAATATGTACTTGTGACATATAACACGCCTAAATCTACTTCCTACCATTCTCACTAATACGTGCTGGTGAAGGAATGTTCGAGAGAGATGGTCTTTGTATCAGTGGGTTTTGGTAAATCAGACTACGTCCAACGACTGTCTGAATTTGTGCGAACACTGTCTCCGGTGTCAACTCGAATACAACATCGACAGGTTACTCTCCCCCGAAAGTTATCTACCTGTTCACATGTTTTCATACGAGTAGATTCGGTACACAAATCTCTGCAACAGCCTTACGAAGGACCTTTTCACGTGATTTCTCGTCACGAAAAGACCTTCAAGGTTGATCTACATGGCTGCGTCGAGATCGTCAGCATTGATCGTCTCAAGCGAGCATACGTCGATTATAGTGCCCTACCTGATATGTTGAGATCCAATGATAAACCCATCAAACCTACTAGCGAGATCTCTGCATGTACTTCGGATCCCACGCTAGAAACTTCAGTGACCTCATTCTCACGTCCCAGTCAACAGCACGTGTCACCTGCACCATCTACGGACGAGACTTCAGTCTCACGTCCAGATCAGCAGAACACACAGCCTCTGAATTCGGATATAGCAGACTCATGAAGCACGAACGAGACTACCGTTTCACGTTCTGGTCACCGAGTACGCTTACCCGTAAGCCTTCGCGACTAACCGCGCAACCAACAACGGATACGGTGTAGGACTATCCCTATACTACATGAATGCTACACCTTTTCCCTTTTCTATTTTTTAATACCCTGAGCCCACGCCTCCGACCATTACTCTGTTGGTACCGTCAACTTCAGCCAATTTCGGCGAAAGCTGGCCTGGTCACACACGTTCTTGTCAACGCAATCAGTCGATATTCTAGTTTCGAACCTGTCTTGCATACATTTGGTCTCGCGCTTGATGGTTATGGTCGCTTCTGGTTTCTTGGCTCAATGTGGTTCCGTCCTCCGTTTGTAGCGCTTTCTGGTCCGCATGCACACGAACGCAATCTTCAGATCCAGGATACAAACCACTCTGGTGTGTTACGCTAACGCGAGCAACAAGTACAGCACATTTCTTCTGGTACCGTCCTACGTAAAAGACCTTAGTTGACAACTCGAGGATCAACGATCGTTTCCTGTTTGGCGACCCTTTCGTTCAAAAGTCCCACTAACGAAATTGCTGCGTATCGAAAGTGCAACTACTTTCTTGCGGAGTGGTGTTCATGTAGTGACCTATTTTTACGAAGATAATGCGATTGGTATAATGGGAATAATTGTTGTTGCAACCAATTGTACCAGTGCTTGTTTTACTGTACATGTTTGTTTAAATGTACTAAAACCTTACCTGCTCCCGTTTACTGTGACCTCGCACGCTACGTAGACCCGCTTGTAATATTTGGCACGATCACGGTATTATTTCGACACCACGAGATCGCCAACAAATATATTCTATTACGACAGTCAGTTGTCTTTTGATTTTTTGTCTACAAAGGGATCAAACCTAATATCTGGCAATTAATCTTCCTGTAGTGGTGGTCATAGTCAATCGTGACTCGACGCCTACTACAATCTTTCTGGAGAGTTCTAAATTTTTAGTTTTCTCAGGTGAGGGTAAGAAAATGAGCAAGGTTACCGCAAGGATCTTCGTTTTCGATTTTCCTCACATAATGTTTCTCTATGATTGAGTGAACATCGGTTCTGGGGTTTTTGGTGACCTATAGAATTCGATCTTCTGATGAAGCGCTATTTTCGGACGATACGAGTACAACAAGAACCTACATTGGTAGCTCGGGCAAGAATGGCTGTCTAGCGAGGCCTTTGTCAGAGGCTCATCAGCCAATGAATATTCTCACTGATAAGGCCCTTTCCATGAGCCATGCACTGCACCGTCCAACTTTATCGACCGGCTAAGTCTTCACATCTAAAGATACTCTATTTTAGGGTTTCGTGTGATCCCGAGACTTCCGTAGAAAGCATTCGAGACCTCATTTGTTTATTGAACTCGCTATGTGCTGCGTTCGATGCTACGAGTAAGTGCGTAATCTCATATTCTGTGACGTGTTCGTTGTATTTAGTTTATCCATAGCGGAACATGGCGTCAGTGCTTTTGGGTTAGAATGATACGAGTTGCGTGATAGCCGATGTGAGAGTATCAGTTCATATAAAATTAGGCATGTGTATTAGCTTAATGGGGACAAGATGTGTAAAGGATATTGGACACAAAAGAAATCACAAAATATAAAATATACATAAATAACTTTACAACATGGAACAAACATCTCTGGCATTCCAGATATCGCCCGAGTTCACCAAGAAAGAGAATACAGTTATTTATGACTTAGCGTTTTTAACATCTGACATACCAACATCCTTTTCCTGTCGAAATGGAAATGCTCAACAATGTGAAGAATGAATCAAACCCATATCCTTCGTTGATTCCACATTTACTGATTTAGACAAAGTTAACGCAGTTTTACATTGCTGTTCGTACTAGACTTTGTTTATCTGCTTCGTTTTAATGAGTACTGCTTTGTCCTCTGTAACCCGCCGTTTTGTCTTTCCCCGAGTCCAGTGCAATTAATGATTCTAGGTAGATTTATCCTATTGCACACCTTATCAAACGATATCTACCTGAAAATTTTTATCAATTAAATTAATCAATATAAAGTAGAACTCCCTCCACGTTCATGCAAAATTGTTCTATGTGCTTAATCACTAGTTCTTAACCTAAGGACATGATGCTCTCCTGTCATATGCGAAATTTTTCGAATGATGCCAGACGTTCCCAAAATCTAGGGATCTTAATGCAGTGGCGTTTTATATATTGACAGTTTTGGGGATACTGTGAAAGTCCTGTGGAGAAAAATATTAGATTCAAGGATACTGAAAATAGAGTTCTTCAATTCTTATCTTCATCATTTCTGAAGAATATACACCACAATTAGTTCACATTATGTCCATCACAATGCGCTTGTACGATCTCTGAAAAGTGGTTACTAATTGCATTCCATAGGATACTGTATTTTTAGTTACGCTCTTATTTTAAACGAAAAGTTAATGTTCAATGATATGATGTTGTTTCAGCTCACAGATCTGTTAATAACGTAAGCTCTTGGGCGATGTAAAATCGACCACAATGCCTCTAGTCATATGTTTTTACACGTAAAGAAATTACATACCTATGTTCAAAACACTGACCAAAACACAATAAAATTTCAAAGGCGCTCAGGGGCGATCTGTTTACATGTAATTTTCTTTTCAGTCTGTTCTAAATTTCAAGATTCTACACGTTATCCCCCAACTGTCAACTTTAATATCTTTAGTAATGCTTTTCAACAAAGACCTGTATTTATCGATGTGGTCCCCAACTCTATTAAAGTGGAAACGGCGGTTTTTAAATACATATTATATTAGCGTAAACTTTTTACTACAATCTAATTGTTTGTTTTATATGTGGGTTACAATATGGATGGTTGTGTGCGTACATGTGAGGAACTGATGTATGGACTTAAAAGCCATCACATACACGTCATCATTTCATAAAATAACTGATCAGTAAAGTAAGCTATGTCAGAAGATGTAGGTTTTTGGTTTGTGTTTGCAAGATAATCAAGTCGATAATGATCCAAAGTCAGTGGTAGTGGCGCAGACAGATTCACTTTTATATTTTCCTTCAGATTGTAAACCTTTAATTCTATTTCATACTTAAGTATGTGACTTCATGCATTCATTTCAAAATATACTCTCTGTGTCTAGCTTTCAATAGCATGAGTATTGCTTGGATTCATTTTGTTGTGATGTTGATTTTCTCTCCTTGTACTGATATGAAGTTTGACAGCCTGGTCCATGGATGCTTTCATTGACCAACTGGTGGTAAACCGGTAATCCTAGAAACATAGGAGGCAAGCACAGCTATTTGGATCGGTTTGTTTGTGACGAGGCTGACCAATACAATCGTTAGGTATCCTCAGCAAACAAGACTTGTGATTATTTCAGATAGAAAAATTCTTCTTAATCTTTTACAAAAACCGGCGAGATTAATTTATGGACGACCTTTGAACGAATCTTAAGTAACCTTGAAAAATATTAGCTAATCAGTAAACAGTCAGTATAGAGTAAAAATATGTTATACAAAACCAAGGAAATAAAGTGGATACACTTCGTATAAGTGGTTCGAAAACTTGTTAGGGTTGAAAAGAGATTCAGAGGTTCTAAAATCGTAATGCATGCAGTAGAGGAAATCATCCATACGGCTACAGAATAGTCGGCCTCTGGAGTCATGATAAAGTCTCAAAAACTCTTTCAGCCTCGAATACATAGTCCCAATATTGTCTATGTGCACTCCGGTTGTTGAGTGCACAAAATGCTACTTGTGGATAACGACACGCTCTCCAAACATCCGTATATATTGTAGTACCTGGCTGCAGCCAGTGTTACTGGTGCTTTTATTATCCAGTTCGCAATAGTTGTCATAATTTGCCTTAGTTAGGAATTATATATGCAGTTTTTATCCCGAACCGACATCAGCTATAATGTCGGGAGTTTATTTAGCCAAATGGATGAAAGGCTTTCGCGTTAAAATCCGAGATCTATTTCCTTATACTTGACTGATTCATCCACAAATTATAGTTTCGCCATTTTATTTGTTATAGCCGCTCAATTATCACGTTTTGTACAAAATTCGTTGTGAACTCATCATACGTTAGCATTAAGCACTGAAGTTGGCACCGTAACCTTGAAATCTCTAAAACGATTCTGATTGGCTCGTTCATAAATTAGAGTCTCACCCAAAAATCTCTAAATCTGATTAGTGTTGTTTTAGCATTAAGGTGCACCTGTTTAATGCCTCCATGCAAATTCAGAGTCGACAGAGTTAAACTATTATCTCCAAGTCACAGGCAACAACTGGTGAATTGCTGGGGGGATGTCTCCCCCCCAAATAACCGTCGTGCGAGTGAAGATTTAGTCGGCTCATCACTTACCAGTTCTTAATCCTACTTTGTTTGCATGTTTTACCTTATTATTTTATCTTTATTTAGCAGTTGAATGACCATACTTTGGAACTTTGAAAGACTTTTAATCGAATTAATTCTTTGGCAGTTAACATACATGGTTCTTCATTTTACATCGAAATGAAAAAAACTATTTTTGCCTCTCGTTAACTAACTATTATTCACACCACTACTATACTGAACATAGAACCTATTACATATGCATCGGTTCAAGTCACCACTCCACATTTGCATAGCTTGATAAAATTCTTTCAAAATAAATTCCAGAGTAGTATAAGTAGTAGCAGCAGAAAAATTAGATGTAGTAAAAGGATTGGGAGATGTTGGAAGGACTCTCTTTCTCAGTTTGATTAGTAATTTCTGTCATTTATCCTTAAGGTTTTTCAGAATATTACCAACAGTTCGTGCTGCTGCTAATGTGCACAGTCCAATAACATTTCTTGTTGTAGCTCATTATATTTCCAGCTGCTCACTCTGGTAAATTCTTAAGATAATTACCTTCAGTTTCAAAATATACTCTGTGTTTAGCTACGAAGAAAAAGTTTGGTTCCTAGCTGGTGAAGAAGACCAAATTTCTGAGGATTGCTATTGGAAAAAAAGTGCATGCGAAAAAATATTCCAACTTAAAAAGTTGATTGATCCCAGAAAAAAGGTGACATCACTGGGGTATATGTACAAATAACCTAGAGTAGTGACTTAACCTTATGATTTAACCGAAATAACTACTTGTTTAAATTTTTCAGAAAGAGTTTATTTTAAACGTGCCTGAAATTTACCTGCATTCGTGGTCAGTGATAATTAATTTCTCTTGTTTCTTACTCGACCTCGAATACTTTATCGTTCAAATCTATTTCAGGTTTGTGTAAAAGCTGAGTAAATCCTACACTACAAAGCTTAAACATTATTCCCATATCAGTCAGGCTACAGCTAGTGCTCAGATCATTAAAACGTTTCGACGAATTAGCATCATAAAAATTCAAATGCCTTCAGACCTCTCTGGCTATGTTTGTGTGGTTACAGGAGCTAGTCGTGGTGTCGGCCAAGGTATAGCTATCGGCCTTGGTAAAGCAGGAGCTACCGTTTACCTTACTGGAAGAACACTTTCAGCAGAAAATGGTAAAGGAGGAGTTAGTCTCCGTGATACTGCCCATATTATTAATGCATCAGGCGGAGTAAGTTTTGAAAAACAATATTTCTATTTGTGTTTCGCAGTCATTTTAACATTTTCCACGTAACTTTTACCGCCAAGGATTCTTACAGTTCATTCATCAGCATGCAGTCAAAGTCAACTAACCATTAATATTGAAATTATGAGGAAAGTATCTCACACTGTTTCTTGGCAGGATGAAACCCGTTCAGTGTAATCTGGTTTCCAAAATTATCATAGTTAATGTCAATTCTTGATGAATACTGCTGGATTAAACTAATCACAAAATTTATTATCAATAGTAATTAGCACATTTAGGAACGAATAAAAATCAGTAAACGAAAGATATTTTGGAAGCATGAAATTCAGGAAATGATTACGAATGTGTACATATGTACCATCATAATTGAATTTCATGCCATAACGCTCAAAGTTTCCAACTGTAGATTATGAGCATTTCTCGAATAACGACCAAATAGTCTGTATTTTCCTACACGTTTCATTTCATTATTTAGTAACTCGATAAACTGGTCGTTTAGTCTATACTCATTTTTGAATCTACTCGTATGTTACCCACCATAAAGCGTCAAATTAAATGCCGTTTGAAAATCCATAAGTTAATATCACCTAACTGTATACAACATATCAGAAGAATTTCATCATTCAAATCATCTAGAAAAGGTTATTTAAGTGTTGACTTATTTTTACTATGAATTATTGTTATAAAATAGAATCCTGTTTCTTTATCTGTTAAAAATTTGTCAGTGAAAATTAAATTTTTTGTTTATATAAGATCACATATCAGTTAGTTGCTCTGATTTCTAATCATTATTCGTAAAGAACGTATCCCCTAAGGGTGTCGAATATTTCACCACATGATTACAAAACAAAATGTTCTGTGTGACTTGGGAATGAATAGACTAAGTTCAATATACTCCCACATGATTTTGAGGTGATAGAGAAGATTTGTAGCTCGTGTTAATGATTTTGGTGAAGTTTCATTTTCTGGGTAGGAGTTTTTGGTCGTGGAGTTTTCATTGTCATTCTGAGCAACATCATCAACAAAAACTTCAGGTAGAAGTTAATTATTTAATTTTTCACACTTATGACCAAAAGCCTGTCGATCTCAATCTTGATGGGTTAGTGTCGACGTTTAACCTGTTATTATCAACCTCTTTATTTTGATTGTATCTCCCTCTGACCTGATTCTTGGTTCTACATTTGCCTATGATTTTTTTGACTGGTTGATAAATCGGATCGATTTTGATGTGTTGTTAGTTGACCTGAGTGCCAAGCTTCAAAAAATTCTCTGGTATTGTTAGTATTCCCTCTCCAAAATTTCGACAATCTTCTAATCAAATGTGTGTACAAAATTGTCCATATACATTTATATAACCAAAGATATATCATGGCGATTAACCGCTAATCAATGTTCATACAGTCGAAGATAAACTAGGTGTCTTGTTTGTTCGATATAGTTTGTCGGAATTGGGAAGGTTTATTTCTGAGGTTATGTTCGATTTTTTGTTGTTGCTTCGCCCCTTGGTTTGCATAAGTGATTTTATCGGCTTATACGTCACTTCTATTCCAAACGACTTCAATAATCGTTGCTGTTTCTCATATTTCATCAAACAAAAATAAAGAGGATTCAGCGAAGATTTACTTTTAAATGAAGTCATTTACTGAAGCTGTACATTCGTAATTATAGTTGTATGGTAAATATATGTCTATAGAAAAGATTGCATCGTAAAGTGATTCGAGACTCTAAATATCAAGTGAGGTCGCGTAATAATCAGAGGATTAGAGAAGAATAAGGGGATTAAAATAATTTACGGGTCAGAATTACAAAAGTTAATTGTTCGCTTAACAGATACGAAGAAACCGCGAGAAACATATAGGTCAATAACTCTAGTATAACATCGATTATTCAGCTACAAGCATTATCACTTGGTCCTAAATTTTGTAGTACGTCAACTAATACTAATGAACGCAACGCTAAAGTCCTGTTTGAAAGTTTTATTCGTCTGACAGGTGACATTACCCCCGTATCTAATAGGGATTATGAACATTTCAGAACAACACTTGTAGACTGCTGTAATCAATATGTAAACACAATACCTAAAACTAAATAACTAATCACAAAAGAACATAAATCTCAATTATTTGATGTTCTGAGAAATCAGGATTTAGTTATGTGTCGCCCAGATAGGAGTGCAGGAATTGTCCTCATGAATATTCATAGCTATGTCATCAATCTATCCTCAATATTATCTGATGCTGTCAGATTATCTAGAGAAACCTTTCAAAAAGATGCAACCGAAAAAACGGAACAGATGTTAACTAAAATCCTAAAGAAGATGAGTTTATTATCAATTGTGACTTTTATGAACATCTTAAATCATCGGGTTTAGCTATATTGAGTCTATACGGACTCCCGAAAGCTCATAAGAAGAATGTTCTACATCCTATACTTGGTATAAATAACTTTCCGTACCATTTGATTGCTAAATGGTTAAATGAAGTTTTACAACCCAAAAACAGTCATATCAATAGATACAACTCTTCATTCATTTGACTTTGTCGACTCAATTAGAAATATCAATGTGAATGATAACTTTTGGGATTCATTTATGGACCAATAATATGCGTACATTTTTATCGTATAATTGTTAAATACCTAAACTATTCATATTCATGTCTCTCTTGTTATGAACTTTATTTTGACGTATGAACTATTATTATACGGTTTACCATTCTTGAATTGTGCCCTGTCTATTAATTACTACCTCCCTCATTCACAGCCACATTTGGCTAACTGTTGTACAAACATTTTTTCATATTTTATGGCACGGTGTGGTCTGTTTGGTTGGTGTATAAACCAGTATGTTTGAAAGAAATAATTCATATTGCAGAGGCTGAGATTTTTGTTCTAGACTTAACTAGCTGGGCTAGGCGGAAAGCAGGACCAATAAGGACTCTAGGCTGCTCGTACGTGTTTTACGCGTCACTGGTTCGACTGATAATTCACTACTCTCTAATTGGCGGTATCGTTACGTTATCCATTAGCAGGACACAGGCCACAAATTATAACAGAATGTAACTTCTTCGTTTACAAACGTCCCACTCACAGAAACTATATTTTTTCTGACTATATTAAAAACAGCAACCTTGATATTTGTATCCCAAAACATTATTTAAATGAGGTACTTCTATGATGTATTCTCAGTGTGCAATTCAGAATTAACAATGATTTCTATAAACAAACCGATGAAATTGCATTTAGTTCACCAATAGGCCCCTTTTGGTTGATTGTTTCATGGCCAAGCTGGAAAATATGGTACTTTGACCAATAATTGGAAGATGTCATCTATATAAGAGATTTATGGATGATATCTTCATTATTTCTGAAAAGCATAAATGAAATTTTGAATCGATTCAATAATTGTCATAGACAATTCGATTCACATTGGAAGCAGAAGGCAGTGGGGAATTTCATTTTCTTTATGTCTCGTCGAAAAGGTCAGATGGCTTTTTACGGAGATCTTTATACAGAAAACCTACCTGGAATGTTCAGTATATGAATTACTGTAGCTGGGTCCCATTGATTAGAAAGAGAAACTTAATGCACTCTTTATCCTCAAGGATTAGGCGAATATTTTCTAATGATACGATAGATGACAAACTACTTCAACTTCGACAGATACTCATCAAAAATGGTTATCCACCTAAATTTGTCAATAGGAAATTAACACCAGGACAACAACAACAGTTCAAAGAAAACTTCTTATGATTATTGAATGTAAAGGAGATGCGGCTACTGAACTCTTAAATAAACGGATTTGAAAATCCCTCAATAAAACCTATTCAGCTGCGCTCTGTATTGTCTTCTCAAGCCGGTCTATCATTCATAGATATGCTAAGGATAAACTTCCGCTTTGAACCATATCGATGTACATCTACAAATTTACTTGCTACTGTGCGGCAGGTTACATTGGTCACACAAAGCGATCATTTTCCAAACACATCTCAGAACATTATCCGGAGTGACTCTTAAAAGCAGAATGCGAGACAGTCACCACTTCGATACAGGTCGAAACGGGTCAGAATTATGAAATATAACCGAACAGTTACCAGTTCAATACATGGTCATTTAATCAAGTCTGGACACGTCGCTCCTAGGGGAACTTTCTTTAAACTAATTTATACAAACGATCGAACTGGATCAAAGGGAGGTCGAAAAAACTTATTCACTGTTAAGGCGTTGGCGATCCACCAATTCAAGCCCGAACTCTACGTGCAAAAGTGATACGCTCAACGTCTTATCCTTCCTTGGCCCTGATTCCCTCCTGTAGTATGTTTTTCCTCCATTTTTTATTATTGTTTTGTAATTTTAAGCCATAATCAGTTATTATTATCCTTTAACAATTTTTCATGATTATTATCCGGTTGCTATTACAACCTTTATGTTTTTCATTTTTCTGGATATCTGTCAAGTAGACAATTATCCTTCTGACCCGTTAATTATTTCCACACTCCTGTTCTTCTCTAATCCCCTGATTATTACATAACCTCATTTAGTATTTAGAGTCTCAAATCGCTTTATGATGCAATCTTTTCTATCCTTCTATAGACATATATTTACCATACAAATATAATTATGAATGTACAGCTTCAGTAAATGACTTCATCTAAAAGAAATTCTTCGCTGAATTCTCTTTATTCTTATTCTGATACTTCTTTTATATAGTGTAGGTTGGTCCATTTTTGGTTTCGTTTCGCTGTTAAGTTGAATCGGTATGTTTGTCTAAGTGGATAATCGGCCTTATGCAATATCATGCCTCGTGTACCATCATCTCACCTACTGTTTATCCCTGGAATGGGATACGAGGACAGGTACAGAATATGTCTGGTTTAAAATAAGACAGGAAAGTTAACTAAGAAATACACAACGGTAGTTAGAATGAGAAAAAGTTAGAGAAGTGTTGTTAGTATGGTCAGATAAACACATAGCATTAGTTCGCATAATTAATCACTGCCTGATTGAACTGTTGAGAAACACTTAGACTTCATTAGACTTAGACTGCATTAGATAGTCTTAGTCTATAGTTAAAAAAACTGTAGACAATACGATGCCCAAATGGTCATAATAGCATTTCATTTATCAATACTGTTGTTAATCTTTTCAGACTATTGTTTTCTATTCATTTTCTTTTATATTTAATTACTTTCCTTTTGTTATGTTCATACAAAGTAGAATAATTAAAACTGACACATTTCTATAACAGCTACTACTTTCTATATTGACATTTATTTGTTTACCGATTTTGCTTCATTCTTTCTGATTAATAATAATGTATCATATCAGTATACTTAAGCTTTTTCTGATAAAAAGAGTATCTTAATGGTAGTTATATTGTTCTATGATATGTACAACATTTTGTAATATTCTATCTTTACTAAATAATGTTATTACAAGTGAAAGATTTAATTTCTTTACTTGATTTAGTTTCATTTTCTTTGTTTGTTTTGTATAATAGAAAGCAATCACTGTTGCTGTGGATCATTCTGATGATACACAAGTTGCAGGACTATTTTCTCGTATTCATAAAGAACAATATGGTCGTTTAGATATATTTGTAAATTGTGCATTTAGTGCAACTGATTATTTATTGGATAATAATAATTCACCATATTGGGAATCTAAACTTCGTCCAAATGAAGAATGGGATTTAATTAATCGAGTTGGACTTCGTAATGCATATATATGTAATGTATTAGCTACACGTATGATGATAAAATGTCGTGAAGAATCAATGGATTTAACAAAGAATAATGATGAAAATGTATATAATCATTCTAACAGTATAACAACTTCACTTATTCATAATAAACCATTACCTACAGGATTAATTGTAAACATTTCTAGTTTCGGTGGAATTACAAGGATATTTAATGCTGCATTTTGTGCAGGTAATTAACAATAGATTGTTATTAGTTTGTTATAAAAATAAACAGTGTATAATTTTAAGAAGTGTACAAATATCACTAACTGTAATGATCATAAGGTTATGGATGTTAAATGTTTGTACTAGTAGTGCATACCCACCAGCAAGAAATATTTGTAAACTTGTGGCTGTATATTCTATTCCATTCTGCTTAACGCGGCCGCAGTGATAAACATTATTACTGATATAATTTAGTACATAATAAATCAGGTTCACATCTCTAGTGAACCATTCGAGTTGTACATAAGCCGATAAAAATCAAACTATGAAATAAATTTCATTTGATTTATTTAGTAAATTCTTCTGTTATCGTATTCTTAAATTTTACCTTTTTATTCATTCCTTTTCTCCACTCTCTTATCATCACAGATATTGACAACTTGGAATAAATTCAATTTTTGTTTTTCTAATTCATTGTTTATTCATTTGAATTGGTTTCAATATCACATAAGTCTATCTTTGTGTCTGTTGTTGCCATAGGGAAAAGCATATATTAAGGGCTCAGTAGCTGTGTGGATAACGCGATGGCGTTTGAAGCGAATGGTACTGGGTTCGAGTCTCAGAGTGAACATCAACTCTGAGATGCAGGTACATCCAACTGACGAGTCCCAAATAGGACGAGACGCGCGTCCTGGATTCCACTGCTAGCCACTATCCATCATTACTTATAAATAGCTTGTGAATTAAGGTAATATCGAGGCATACGCACAGTATGCACATATGCCAATAACAGACTGATCAATTGCACTCTTAAACCTCAATGGAAGATACAAGCCAAACGATGCCAAGTGAATTATTTTCGCTTATTTACATAAATGACGATAATAAAAAGATGCGAAATCATTAATCTACTTCGATCGATTGGAGTTAGATATTAACACCGTTAGATGCCGGTTCAGTAGTCTAGAGGTTTAGGTGTTCGCGCGCGAGACTTAAGGTTCTGAGTCCGAGTCCTGTGTGCGAAATTGTGGATGCGCAAAGCTGAGGAATCCATGTTCATTTTATATGGTAATGTGTGTGCGAACAACTCAGTTCATTAGAAAAATCTAAATAAAAATTAGATTGAATTGGATACCAACATTTTAGGTGTACATATTTCTACTTTAAAATTTCATTTCATATTCATACATGTGTTGTGTCTTTTGCCCGGTTAATTATCAAGTGATCTGATTGCCAATCAGAATACGACGTATACAATCTTAGCACTGTGTCAAACCAGTAACGCGTAGACTTGTACAAGCAATTGAGAGTCTTTATTGGTCCTTCTCGTCTAGCCTTGCCTGTCCAGTTCAAAGAACACCAATATCAGATCCCACTGTATAAATCATATATTTCAGACACACGTGGTTTATATACAAACAGACCAGACTGCATCACACCATGAAATAAAAAAAGTAACAATTATACAATTTCAGGTCAAAAGCGGCTGTGATTGTGAGAGACTGCAACTAATAAATTGGGAATATCTTGTGAATAGTAAATCGTATAATAGCATTCAGTAAGTCAGATTAAAGCATATGATAAAAGGAATATAAATATATATAATCTAGTTACTAAACAGTTCAAAAATACACTGGGTCATCTGCATCTCTGATATCCAATTTAGGTCATATTGCTTTCTGATGAATCGACGAGTCTCTTTCATTTCATAATATTTATTTTATAACACTTAATTTCAATCATATGATTGATGTTACTTAAGAAATTCACAACTTCTTACATGTCAAGGACTGTCAAACCGTTAGTTTCTGGTTCAATAGTCTAAAGATTAAATACTCAATGAAAAGTCTTGGGTTTAGTTCTCATTGAGGTCATAGATGGGCACTGCTGAGGAGTCCCACACTAGAACGAAACGGGTGTTCAGGGCTTCCTGATTGTTAACAGTTGTCTAAGGTCAATCAGTGATGCTAACTTTAAAAGTCAACAATCTCCACTAAACACTACTATGCGAATAACCATGAAGAACTTGATTAATTAATGTCCTATGTTGTAGTCTGTTCATTAATATTAAAACTGTATGATATACGCGTAAATATATGGAGCTGGTTGATCATAGGTTTCGTATATTGACCAATTTATCGTAATATTAGAGATCTGTTAATGCTACATTGTAGTTTTTCGACCATTATTTTTAGCTGAACATGGGAAACATTTTTAAATTATCTAATGTATAATTTTTGTGTTTTTACAATTCGATAGGATCTATTTCAATCAGCAATCAACATTTCTGTTGATTGACTTGATAAATAACAGTTTGTTTTTTGTTTAACATTTTTAATTCGTACTGTCGTCATACAGTTTTTGTAATTTCGTCAGATGTCTCATTCATGTTTAATATGAATAATTGAAGTATCAGATTAAAAAAGGAATAGAATCCACTGAATGATGAGCAGTGATCACGAAGATATAATTTTCCTACATATTTCCTGAGAGTGGTAATATACCTTTATCAACGAATAGATTTGTTTAAACTGGGATGCATGTACATCCAAATGACGAGTCCCAAATAAAGCTAAACGCGCTTACTGTATTTCACTGCTAGCCACAATCCTCTATTCTACAAAACGTGGTGTTTTTAAAATTTTTCCAATTAGGAGATTAATTTTCGTCACAGTTAATGTTCTCCTTATTCTGTTGTGAATTTTCAGAGTTGTTTCTCTACTTAACATTATCTATTGCAATGTACCGTATACGTTAGATTGTAAGTAATATAATAATCTATTGCAGTAATGCAAATACAATCGTTTTTATGTTAATTGATCCATAGTTCTAATATTGTTTCATAATGTTATTCCGTGGATTCATCCGTTTCTTTTCAAACTACATTTTTCGTTCAATCATTTTCGCGACCATAATCCCTACTGTCACATTGGCTCTTTTGCTATTCATCTTGTTAACTTGACCTTGCTTTACTGATTTGTTGTGTTTGTAACTCAGTTCGATACATATTTGTTCCAGATAAAGTTCATCATCGTCTAAAATTAATTGAAAAACACAATAACATAGTGAATTGCTTTTTTTCTCCCTTTAGGCTCCTATACTACAATATGACCTCTCGAACTCATTCAAAGTGTCAAAGTTGTCCATATTATGCATGTCATTCCAAATTGAGAAACTAACGATTTTTACTATATTGTGTTCTTGATGACCTCAGTCTATAACTGCGTTATTTCTAAATATGTTAAAAATTAGAACAAGACTTATTAAAAGGAAAATATTGGTTTCAATCACTTCTTCATAAACGTTTTCTTCATACATATTTAGAAAATATGAACCATTCAAAGGAATCTATGTGATTTATGGCCGATGAAGATTTAATTAAAAACAACGTTGATCATTTATATGTCTTATCAGTGCTTGAAGTCACTATCTTCTAGTCTGAGCCATGTTGGTAGATACAGACTACTTGGTTGGGGTCCGCATGACTATCGTATCCAATGGTTGTAGACTCTGGGTGACATGGCTCAGAATCTATCACAATGACGAAGGTGTATACACTCTCTGTCTTCCCTTAAGCTACGAGATTAAAATAACTTCATATCTTTTTTCTACGAACTAATTCTTTCTTCCTGTACTATATTCTTATATACGATCTTTCTTTTATATATTACCACCACTGAATTAACTTCTTCTATGGATTCGATGTTCATCTTGTTGTGCTAATGAGGTACGGCAACTTGGACCGATGCACATATGTGCCTGATCCTACGTTGTAGTTGACTGACTGATATATCTTATCCTAACTTTTTAATGTGACAGGTAAATAATACAATGTTTTTATGTCATTGATTCTATGGTCTTTTTCTTAACAATCCATAAGATTTAATAATTTTTATATCAGTAATATAATAGTTTATTTGAAAGGTTTTTATGGAGATTGGTCTTAATTCACAGGTTGTATTTTCCAGAGATTGATGACCGTCACGCTTTGTCGCAAATTCATTGAAATTGAAGTTGTAACATTGGACGTTGATCCGGTGAACCTTGTTGTTAATCACTTACCATGAAACGTTTAGGACTCAAGTCCCATGAAGTTGTCATTGTGGAGTATTGAAGAGTTGTACACCAGGACGAAATAGCTGTCCAGTGCTATATTGGTTCTTAATGGTATCATAGCTAATTTAAATCTATGATGAACACTACCCACGAATTAAACCAATCTTTACAAAATCCCTTTAACTAAATTCGTAAGATTTATATCAGTTATATTAAATAATAATCATTTATCTGTTACGAAAATGTTCATATTCGATTCTATATTAATCAAGGTAAATCATCTTTGGATCGACTTAGTCAAGAAATGGCACGTGATCTGAAAGAACATAATGCAAATATTAGCATTGTCAGTATTATACCTGGACTTATACAAACAGAATCAGTTGTTTCAGCCTATGAAAGTGGCAATTCAGTTAAATTGTTTGGATATGATGCCAGTTTAAGAATGGGTAAATTTTATATTACTAATTATTTTCAAGTTTCTTATTAAATGCATTTACAAATTATTTGAACGTTAGCTAAATGATTATTCGTTTTGTTTCTGAAGTCCACAGCAGTGCTCACCTGAAACCTTACACAATATTGAACGTAGAATCCTTAGGTCATGTTGATGTCAGTTTGTGATTCGAACAGTCCACAATTTATACAAAATCGTCTCCTGGAAGCTAACTAACTTGAATATAAAATATTGTTGATAAGCGGGGTAGTTAGTCATAATCAATCACCTAATGTATAAAAATAACTACCTTGAACATTCAATGATACACTTCATTCCATCTAAACATATAGATTATGTCCCATAGAAAGAATGGATTTAACTGTCTATAATTTGAACTTGAAAACTGCTAGTCCGATTAACATTGAGATCTCCACCACTAAGTATAGCTGTTATTTATTGGCTTGAACATTCAACTTTTAACTAATTGAATATCGATACAAACTATGTTAATGTTTATAAATCTAAGTAATACATCCTTGTTATGTCCTTGATTTGTTTATCCAATGATATACAGAAGATAGCTTGTATCGATCTGGTTTAAGGCTAATTGGTTTAACATTGAGACTAGAAATGCGTGAGTCCGAATTTAGACTAACGGCCTTGGATAGAGAGACAAAAACTTGTACCAGCTGATTGGTTGACAAGTAAGAGAGGAGACGAGTCAACTAGAACACTACTCGATTTAATCCTGATTCCCAGCTCCGATTAGTGTAAAAAGATACATGAATAAATAGATGACTAACACGTCCACAACGCACAAACAATTAGGAAAGTACAATTATGTCCAAACTGATCATTATGGTAGAAAAATACGGTACAAAAGTTACGTTTAACTTACGATAGCTTTGGAACAGAAAAGGGTGTGTCAGTGAATAATAAATCGAACGAAACATTTTGTTTTAACTTAAGAACAAAATTAAGTCATAGTATTTTACAAACTTCGAATGAAGTAAAACAACGTCCCCACAAATAGCTTCTGTTTTCTGTTATTGCTTCTTTGTTTCTTTATTCACATCAATCCTACACATACATAAACTTTCAGATAATCGAAAGAACTGCAGCCAGAACGGTAAGATGTCTCATTTACCAGGTACAGATTTTCATGTATGGGTTCTAGCCGCAATTTAATTGTGGTGGCTTGTGATACTATCTGGTTGCGCAAACTGAAGCGAATTAGAGCCTGGTTTGAAATTATGATGTAGTGTTTGAAAGTTAAATATTAACTACTGAACTGCTACTTCACCAACAATCAAATAACTGTATTCCTATCATTACCTATGTAAATTGCTTGTATGAATTATGTGAATACTCTAATTAGCAAACTCAAAAAGAGATAGAATTCATGAAAACATTCATCGGTTGTGAATGTTAACTTGTTCCTTAGTCTTCTCAATTTACCGAAAGGTCTCTTAGTTGAAGAATAAAACTTAAGTAATGTTAGAAATAATTCTCTATGTTGTATCCAAATTCAGTCTTTCTTTCTTTATCACTGTTAGCTTACTAAGAATTCTAGCTCGACCATATCCTTGCTGTTTCAAATATTATTATAATAAAGTTTCCCTGCTTTAAAGTTGTTTCAACTGACTAACAATATATATGTTGATTCAAATTTGTTCATGTTCTACCCTAAAGATTGTTTAATACATCATGAAGTTAATTCTTATAAAATTTAATCGGAACCTTCATACTGATTAGTGTATTTTCTTATTCGTCTATCCGTAGACAAGGGAGAGGAAAATACAGTAGAACTGTAGCATCAACTATATGTATGAAGGTACAAGATGTGTCATACGAAAGAAGATACATGGTAGTTAGGGTCTGTTGAAAACAATTTTCTTACATAAATATTCACGTGTTATTTGTATATGTAATACATGAATTTATTATAATATTCCATACCTAGTGATGACAATTTTATACTTGTAGTCAAGTAGCTAGTGTTGAATGAAATTACTATTCAGTGAGATTATAGTTTATAGACGACCTTTGAGCGACGCTAAAGTGACCTTAAGAGCGTCTACCTACTTAATGAGGCTAAATAAAGGTTATAAAGCAGTTTGAGGAATAAAAATAATGATTTACAGCTGATGGTTAGGGTTAGGAATTAGATTTATTGTTTTCATCAGCTAAAATGCCAAGACGCTATTTGAACGAATAGGTGAGTGAATTTCGCGCCAAATCGAAGACCTATTATCCTAAATCTGATTGGTTCGTCCATAAGTTATAGTCTCGTCTACTATTCTTTTAATTATTGATCTGTTGTCTTTTCTATCAAGTAAAATGAATTGTTTTCTTAAATTCAACTTTATTTAAAAACGCGAAGTTCAGCGAAGGAATCTCTATTCAACGAATCTATTATCAATCTGTACAACTGTACATATATGAAAATTGTTTTGTTAAAGTACTAATTCTGTGAGGAAATGTAAATAAAATAATGAGAATATAAGACGTAAGTAAAGGGGAACGCAGTAATAATAATAATACTAATAATAAAATGAAAACACTAATTAGGGCCACTGCAACGATAACGATAAGACATACTTCTTTTGTACGCATAGTTCTGGTTTGAGCTCATGGATGGTAAGAGCTTCGGCTATTTTTAGGAGTTGGATACGAAGAAATCTAGGTACATTTGAACGAATCACATAAATAACCTTAAAATCAAACTGTGGATCCTCAGAATGATTACAGTCGATTAGTTGCTCAAGTATATAATTCCTAACTGCTTTCCTTTCACCATTGCAGAACCAAACTGGGATATGTTCTCGTATCCGAGTTGAAAGCGAACGCTGGCTACGGCCAATTTACGTTGCTCCACAAGAGCAAGTGAACTGGTAGATGCCCATGAAGACGACCAGATGCGGAAGCTTATCTTTTATAGATACAGAAAATAAGTTCCTACTAGTGAAGGTTATTCATAGTTTTGCCGCATTAAATGTTCTTTTAATCACTGTCATTAGGCGATTTTTGATTACATCAGATGTTCGATCCCCTTTCAATTCCAGACTTATAGAGAGGTTTTTCTTGGAGACGGAACAACTTCATAATAAATTCGTTGAAAAAAAGATCCCTTCATTGAAATTTATGTTTTTTTTTAAAATTTTTAATGTTTAAATGAGAATTATTTATCAATTTTATTTAGCTATGCCAGCTCCTATTCTTGGTGATGTAATTGCATGTTTAGCTCAACAATCAAATAATAAGAAATTACTTCAATATTCTGGTCATTGTTTATTTGCTCCTGATTTAGCTACAGAATTTGGTATAAAATCATATGATGGTTATAATTTTACAAATTTACGTTCTATTAAAGGATTATTACAATTAATTGGTTGGAAACATTTAGCTGTTTTATTTCCAGGATTTGTTAAAATCCCTTATTGGTTAATTGCTATAGTGACATCGAAATTTTAAAGTATCCCGTTATTAGTGATAGTTTATCTTTTAGCATTTAACTCATTTGAGACTGTCTTTTTCTATTTACATAATGTATATGAAATAGAACTATATTCATCCGTCTACTTATATAATTTATCAGTAGTATGATAAACTTTTGCAATAGTCCTTTTTTAGTTGTTTTTTTTTCTTCGAACAATAAATTCTTTGTATTGATAAACTACAATCTCTTTTCCTGTGCTAATGTGGTATGGCAACTCGAACTGATGTACGTACGTACAAAGTTCGACGTTGTTACTGACTGACAATCTCTTTTCAATTAACTCTAATATTCCATTATTTATAATTGTATTACTACTAACAATACTATTATGACTATTGTTGTTTTACAATATATTCAAAAGGTTTGTATACACTGTTCAATGTTTTCAACATTTATATATCTATTGTTCAACTGTGAAATGATAAAGGCAGCAATTTTCTAATTTCTTTCTGTTATTCGGTAAAAAACAGATTAATTTACCTCATTATTGTCTATAATCATTATATGTATACTTTTTTTAGTCTTCATCATCCATCATCTTCTTTATATTGAATGGTCATCATCATAGATCTTTTTCATTTCAGAACAAATTTTTATTATAATCTTGATGGAATCTTGTTCTGTGAGCTAGATGGTTTAGAGCTTTCATCGTTCTTTTGAACGACATCATCGAATTTCTCCACATATGGTTCACAACTTGTTCTGTAAACTTCGATGTTGATTAGTTCTTATTATAATCGTATAATTTTCAGTTAACAATAATATCAGTTATTGCTTATCATACAAGTTGTTTACGTTTATTACCTATTATCTTACTTGTATATGTATGACAAGTTTTTTTTTTGTTGTTTACTTTCTATTGTTCTGTTTCATTATCCTTGTGGTTAAGTTTATATTATATAAATTTCCGTTAACAAAACAACTATTACGAAATAAGTTCATTCCCCAATTCTTCTGACCTCTTTAGTGGTTATATTACGTAATTAGCACAACAATGTTTTCGTATTAAGTACATGAGTTAGTTTGTAGTGTTTCTGTCATGTTATTGCCCCCAAATGCCCTGGTGCGACCGAAAGTGGGAAGAGTCAGCTCTCCTTCTCGAAATGCTCTCACATGGCCACAACTACTGCCAGGGAAGTTCTGCTCACTGCCTCCTCATGGCGAGAATGCTGTTTACGAGATTAAGAGGACGAAAAGAGAATGGCCAGAGCTTTAACCGGGCTGGTGAATACAAAGAGTTCATATAGGGTAGTTGGAAAACCCTGGTTCCAAACCAATGGTGCCCATGGGCTCCAGTATCCTGGGGGAACAAATGATGTATGAATTTATTGTTGGTCACCGGTTACCATGGGGCTACATCTCCTGACGTTGCTCCACTGCCTTGTGGATTTCCGGCACAATGAATAGATAATGGTAATCGTCTTCTGCAACTGTGCTCAGACAATCGTTTATTTTTAGCAAACACAAATTCTAAGCATAAGAAGAGACATCGTCTAACATGGCGCCCCCTACACCAAACCAACGATGGACTCAAATAGACCATATTGCCATCAGTCATCGTTGGAGAGGGTCACAAGGAGATTGTCGCTCATTCTGGAGTACCTGCTTGGACTTCGACCATGCCCTAATACGGCATGCATCTGCTTGCGCCTCACTGGACGCAGGAAAGCCACAGTAAAAAGACCCATTAGAACTGAATTGAGTAGCGAGAAAACCAAAAGTAGGTTCCAAGAACAACTGAGGTCACAATTAGGTAGTTCTGAAAACGAGGCTGGCCCAGATGTTGCTTGGAAAGCTATACAAACAGCTGTGGAGACAGCAGTGACATCTATCAGTGATTTAAACCACAGGGTTACAAAGAACCAATGGATTTCCCCAAGGTCTAGTGCATTGATGGGTTCTCGTAAACTCATTGCATCAGGCTCTGAACACGATGAAGAGCGAAAACAATTCAGATCTAGGTTAACCAAAAGTCTAAGAAACGACCGTGAGCAGTGGTGGGCAACGAAAGCGAAAGAGATAGAAAAAGGCGGCTCTACAGACTAATAAAAGAAACTGGAATTAATAAGTCAAGTGTAAGTCAGACAATTTCGGAAAAAGATACTCTCATCTGCTCCCAGTCCAGACGTTTAGAACGATGGGCGGAACATTTTAGGGAAAGGTTCAGCTACTCTACAAGTACCCTCCATTCCCAGACTGTGAATGGAACATTGAAGTAGGTCCCCCAACTCTAGCAGAAGTTCAAAAGGCTATAGTTAATATGAAACGAGGAAGGGCAGCTGGTCCAGATGGATTGGCTCCAGAGGTCTTTAAGGATGGTGGTCCAATTTTAGCTAAGATCTGGGAGTTAGACGTTATCCCATCTGACTGGTCACAATCACTTATCGTCCCGATAAAACCATCCTGTGACAACCATAGAGGGATTAGTTTAACTAATATAGTATCTAAAATACTAGCTTCGATAATAATCAGATGCCTAACTAAGACTCGTGAACTGCAAACACGAGAGAATGAAGCTGGCTTCAGACCCGATCGTGGCTGCATCGACCACATATTCACCATTCGTCAGGTTCTAGAACATAGGCATACTTATCGGCGTCCGACAATGGTGGTTTTTCTTGACTTAAAAGCAGCATTTGACTCTGTAGACCGCGAGATTCTGTGGCGGTGTCTGTCATTGAGAGGCGTACCCCAGAAGTACATAAACCTTGTAAAGGCTCTTTACTCGAACACTACTAGTCGAGTCAGGGCTTATGGCGAACTGTCATCTACTTTTGCAACCTCAAATGGTGTCCGTCAAGGCTGTCCACTTTCTCCATTTTTGTTTAACTTCATCATAGACCTACTGATGGAAACAACATTCTCGTCGGCCGAATTCTCGGGTATTGATCTCCTTCCAGGAGGTCCACTAATCGACTTAGAATACGCAGATGACATAATCCTGTTTGGTGAAGACGCTGATAAGATGAAGTCTTTTGGCAGCACTAAGCAACAATGCCAGAATGTTTGGAATGCGCTTCACTCCCTCTAAATGCAAGTTGTTGCTTCAGGGCTGGTCTGCGTCAACACCTGAAATAAGGACAGGGAGTGAAGTAGTCGAACGCGTTGACAACTTCACTTATCTTGGGAATCTGATCAGCCCTAACGGGTTGGTGTCTGACGAAATCTCAGCACGGATTCGAAAGGCTCGCTTGGCTTTTGCCAACTTAGGTCATCTATGGAGGTGAGATATCCGTCTATTAATAAAAGGACGAGTATACTGCACGGCAGTCCATTCTGTTTTACTTTACGGCAGCGAAACATGGCCATTAAGATTAGAAGACACTCATAAGCTACTAGTATTTGACCACAGATGCCTTAGAAATATTGCTGGCGTCTGCTGGGATTACCGGGTAAGTAATAGTGAGGTTAGGGAATGATGGTAAATCAGTCGACGAGGTTGTGAATCTTCATTGACTGAGATGGTTGGGCCACGTGTTGTGTATGCCTGAACACTGATTACCACGACGTGCAATGCTAACCGGTGTTGGAGATGGTTGGAAGTTAGGGACGGCCAAACCAAAACGTGGCATTAGTGCTTGAAGTCACTAACTTCTAGTCTGAACCATGTTGGTAGATGCATACTACTTGGTTGGGGTCCGCGTGACTTTCGTAACCAATGGTTGTAGACTCTGGGTGACATGGCTCAGAATCCATCACAATGGCGAAAGTGTATACACTATCTGTCTTCCCTTAAACTAAGAGATTAAAATCGCTTCACATCTTTCATTCTACGAACTAATTCTTTCTTCCTGTACTATATCCTTATTGCAATCTTTCTTTTATATATTACCGTCACTGAATTAACTACTTTTATGAATCCGGTGTTCATCTTGTTGTGTTAATGAGGTATGGCAATTTGGACCGATGCATATATGTGCCTGATCCTACGTTGTAGCTAACTGACTGATTTCTACGTCTAACAGACTAATCAACTATATAATTGAAATTGTTTGAAACTGAAATTCCAATGTCAGATTAAGTAATCCATTAAAATATTTACGGAAAAATAACAACCGTTTACTACGAACAACATAATATACGGGAAAGAAAAACATTGAATCTAGTACAATCACTGTTTCTTTTATTGTTTATATATCTCACATATTATTAAAGAGCCAATTAAAGGAAAATACAGTTTCCAAATGATAAGATTGAATACATTGTTTATTGCTAACTAATTAGAGAACCGGATTTCTAGAAAACAAAAAGTCAATATAAATTAAAAGTATGAGGGTAAGAAAGGATTCCAAAAAATAATATTTAGTCAGTGGAGACATTTGCATAAGCTCGAAATGCTAATAAATGTGAATCATTTTTCTGTAATTGATGAACACTGAAAGCAGTTCCAGCGTTGATGAAAAACACTGATCCTTGATCGTATTCACTGAAATATAAAAAGTAAAGGTATAAATAATTATGAATCAATGCTTTCGTATTTGGATGATCGCATATGAGCATACTGTACGTATTGCCTCGGTATAGCCTTAATTCACAAGCATTATATACAAAGATGGGTAGTGGAAATTTAAACTTCACCCCACTGCACAAGCAAGTGGATATCAGAACTCAGTAGCTAAGTGGATAACGCGATGTTTGAAGCGAACGATACTGAATTCAAGCCCCATAGTGAACATCAACTATGAGGTGCAGGTGCACCCAGCTGACGAGTCACAAATAGGACGAAACACGCGTTCTGGATTCCACTGCTATCTACTATTCATCTTTGCATAAAATACATAAATAGTAAAATTTTCCACCTTAAAGAAAACTTACAAAGATTCACAAACAAACGCAGAAGGCATTGGATAATTATCCGCATATTTTGATCTGTGATTGTCTACCTTAGTGTTAGAAGTGGATAAAGGATCCCAATGCAAACGTTGTAATGTGCCTTTCCCATAGATAATAATCAAAATGCTGGCAGATTTCAATGGCGAAAACTGGACTATTTTATCCTTGTCCGATATCTGTAATAAAAAAGATAAATAAATACATAATTCATCCTGTTTTAATTGAAAAATGCATATTACGACAAAGATTCTTAACTATATGTTTCACAGTAGAAAGTGGTAAAACTGATGAATAAAACACATGTTCAGTCTGAGTGCCAATAAACCTATACATTTAACAAACTTGGATTGTGGCTAACAGTGGAATTCACAACGAGCGTTTTATCCTATTTGAGGCTCAGCTGGATGTAGCTGAATCCGTGTTGACATTCATACCGAATCAGTGACAGACGGCAAACTGGATTCTCTATATTACCATCAGTATATATATGTGCGTCAAGCTGAGGAGTCCTAAATGGGACGAAATACGTATCTCGGATTGTTAGTAGTGATCTAACTTTAATAAAACATGTAACTGAATGCCAGTATATAGGTAATTCGCTCAAGATGCGTATATGCTAATATGGAGACTGGTCACTTGAATAACAACGGAAAAATAAAAACCTTTACAAACAATGTATCATTATTAAGATGTAAAATTATTATCTAAAATCAATATTTACACCATTTGGTTAACTCCCATGATATTGGGTAATTATAACTCGGTTACTAAATACAGGCTTGCACGATCGTCTTTAACTCACATTATGTGAGGATTCAGGATATCACCACGGGTATCCAAACCGAAATAAGAGGAGGGCGATTCATACCGAACTACTGGTTAAAAACTATGCACTTTAGTTAATGAGCTACATGATATCGAGTATTGGTGAGATACAAACTAAGGCAAACACCTTGCTTATGTAGGATTTTAGTCAATGCTTGAATATTTCAGTGATAAAATGTCTAACCGTGGTAATGTGGATGAAGTAGGTTAGAATATTGTGGAGGGAGAAACAGGTTGCCTAAGATCTTAGACATTGGTGATAAATCCCGGTCAATAAGGAGTATTGGGTTGTGTCGAATTGATTTTTTTATCAATTGCATTTAACGACCACCTAATATCAAATAAAGTACATTTCTTGCTGAAAACTATGAAGTTATAACTAACTGAAGATATTACAAAGTATAACTTTGCTTTTCTTCAAAAGAGTAGTTCACTATGACAGGGTTTACTGTATAGTTTTATTAGATCGCAGATTCTTAACAACAACTAAATTCAAAGAAAAAATCCTAATCTCCCTATTTTGGGGAAGCCGCAATAGAAAACTTTGGGGAACTGGCACAAAAACACCATAATTCCCCAAAAGTAAGGAGATTGGGATGAAGTAGTTAAGAAGCTATAGGTCTTTTTTAAAAGATCCGGGAAAACTATACTATGCTGAAGGCTTTAGGAGATTTTAAGTGACTTGCATATTGACAAATGCAAATCTATTTGAGACCATGGCATTCAACAACAAGCTATCCATAACGGCGTTTCAACTTCGAGCTAATAATTAACATCCGATATTTCAAATGTGATTGGTCCCTCAATACGTCAGTATTGTGTAATTTGACCAAAAATCATAGGTCGAACAGTAGATATTAAACTTGTTACCTACTGAGATTTTATCCACAGCAAAATCATCAACTGGAGGAGAAAATGTCACAATTTCAGACATAACTGATGTATCATCTTTAATTGATTTCTTTTCTTGATCATCACTAGTATGCACATCTGAATCGATTGGTACAATTTTTTTCGTCTGACCAACAAATTTCAATGCTGATCCCCATCGAGGTTCATATTGAATAATTCGAAGCAGATGATCCACATCTTTGAATTTCGGAGTTAAACCGGCACGAATTACATTATCCGAAGAAGCCATACATTCCACGCAATCACCGGATAAATAAGCATGTGGCAAATTAGGCTTGATGATATAGAGAAATAACGATAAAGTTATTGTCGAAATTAAAAACTTTGACAGCATATAACTATTACTGGAAATATACATTAAAGCATATACATACATATCCATCCTGTAGATAAGCAGAAAGAAGTCATAAAACTTTTAACTTAAACAATGAAGGGTATATCTATCATATTCCCTTTAAGATACTTCATATTTGTCGCAATACAATTGTACAATCTCCATTCCCATTGGCTAAAACATTCCATGAAGTTAGACTCTACGTGCTTCGTTGTTCTACATTTTTTCAAACTTTGAATGTTTTGGTATGATCTTGTACTCAGATAACGTTCTTAAAGTTACCTCATGAGAAGTCAGTTGACAGTGAACCAGAAAAACATAAAATAAATTACACGCGTTCAATAATTCCACCTACAAAAAAGACTGGTGATCATCACCTACTATGCATACATGGAGTCTATACACTTCTCAACAAAACGCTTCATCCATTTGGAAAAAGTTAGTTTCTTCCCGATATCTAAATTATGGTGAGAAAATTTAACGTATACTCCACTTCGGTTATTTATCACGATCTACTAGGTTCAGATACTTTGTAGCGATGTGGTGCACAGTGAACACCATCATACGTAGCGTAGGTGTCAATCATACAATAATTTGACTTTAGTATTGTTGGAAGACTATTACCAGACAAAATCTTTAGTCCAACTTGATGTCATTCCTGTTAAACTTCGAGACTCGAAAATGAAATGAATTTTTCAAATTTATAGTACAATACATTGACGGTCAAACTAATGCTCCAATGTAAAGTGTATCCTCACTAGACAAAGTGAAAATATTCCCAAAAAATAGAAGAAAGACCGAAAAGTATTGGGAGATACACTTTAAGTAAAAGCACAAATAATGTGCGGCCTATTCATGTTTGAAAAACACAAAAACGCGACAGAAAAATTATCACTGTCTATCACTTTAAACAATCTATGGTAACCATTCAAGTCAATAAGTTTTACCGTGATTAGGACCGATGATAACCAAGGAGTCGTTACAAATCAACTGAATACAACTACCCTAGATTACATGAATGTAATAAACTGATTTGCTACTCATGTTTTTTTCATTTAGCAAATAATATGCGATAAAATAAATGTCGAAAAGATAGGACAAATTGATCAAGCCGTTTAAAAAGATGCGTTTAAATGTGCAAACATATTAGACTTCAGGATGAACGGACCATATTAGACAAATATAAAATTAATATCAGAAGGGGTTTTGTGGATATTAAAACAATTTTAATAGTTGAGATCATGAGTCAATTGAAGCCAGACCATCATGGAAAACCTGGCAGCACTGGACCGCCGTTTCGTCCTATTGCGGGACTTCTCAGCAGTGCGCACCCACGGTCCCGCCTAGAGATATTCGAACCCAGAACTTATCAGTCTTGCGCGTGAGCGCTTAACCACTCAGCCGGCATCCAACGGTGTTAATATCTAACTTCAACTAATCCACGAAATTGATCGACACATCCACTGTTGTATTCAGTCAGTTACTATCTCACAACAGACCCGGTTGAAATCCACCGGTCACTGCTTCTCATTAGAACTCCAGGAAATACCTCTTGAAGACTGTCACTAGTGAGCATATCTTGATAAGTATCAGAAGAGGTTTTGTGGATATTATAGTAATCTTAATAGTTAAGATCATCAGTCAATTGAATCTAGACCATCATGAAAAACCTACTGTGGGACTGTGCAGTGGTCTCGGGTGCTGTTAGAGGTATGAGGGCGGTTATCGCTTCCCGGTTGCCCACACCGAGGAAGGGTTCTTCTGGAGGTACCTGAAAAGGAAATTGGATTAGAGGTGGTCTCAGTGACCTGAGAGCGTGACCGCAGTGCCCAAAGGACAACTGCTTGAGGCCGGTCGCGCACGGCCTTTTCGTGGGAGGTTTTTGACGTGTTAGCTCCGTTCTTCAAATGGCCTTACCGCCGGAGACGGAAATCCGTGAGTTAAGGTGAGGTGTGCATTTTTAGGGTCAACCTTTTCTACCCCCACCCCTCCTTGTGGGAAGGCAGCATCGCTGTCATGCTGGTTGTCTGAAGGAAACACCTTACTGCTGTCACACCTTTGTACAGTCAGCAGTACGACTTCGCCTTCGGACCTTGGGTTTGTTGCTTTTAGTCTTACCGCTCTTCAACCGACCTGTCTGACATGGTAGGACCTTGAGGAACGGTTGTTCCAGCCAGTATATCTCGGTTGCTTCATCAGGGTAGGCAAGCCCGACCACCACGTCAAGGTAGCAACAACGGCCGGGGGGACTGTGCACAATGCTGAGGAGTCCTACAATAGGAGGAAACGTCCGTTCAGTGCTTCCAGGTTTTCCATGGTGGTCTAGCTTCAATTGACTCATGATCTCAACTATTAAAAATATAAAATTAGACAGATACTTTATTGTTATATAATATATATCGTGACTTATTTCGTAAGTTATATAACATTTTTACTATCTATATTAATTAGTCAGTAATTGTATCAAATAAATTTCGGTGAGAACAACACAAATTTATTCTATTAAAGTTTTATCACATCCGGACAATTTGTATATACTGGTTAAACATTAAAATAACAATTCTCAATATGAACTTTGTTAAAAGTTAGCAAATTCATGTATCAGTATAACGTAGTAAAAATTACTACAATTCAAGTATATTGAACAAGATGTAACGGTTAGATAAAATATTGATAAGAATGGTGTAGAACACTGACTGAAATAGTAACAAACGATCATACAGCTTGAAATAAATGATTACATAATTAAATGAGTTCACCTAATTTGGTTAAAAACAAATTAATCAACTAGAGTGTTGTTAAAAGATGACGTAATCAGATAACGATTTTGACATTAAGACAAAAAGACATTACAGAGTTTACTATTCAGTACATAAGTCAAGTTTTAAGCAAATTATAGTGATAACGGCTTCCCACTAGACCTCCAGGAGTATCTCTTGAAGTCAGCCACTAGTGAGCAGACGATTAGTATCAGAAGGGGCTGAAGTTAGACATTAACACCGTTGGATGCCGGCTCAGTGGTTTAATGGTTAAGTGCTCGCGCGCGAAACCAGTAGGTCCTGGGTTCGAATTTCGCGGGGTGCGGGATCGTGGATGTGCACCGCTGAGGAGGCCCATACTAGGACGAAACGGCCGTCCAGTGCTTCCAGGTTTTCTATGATGGTCTAGGTTCAACTGACTCGATTTCAATCTGTGAAATTTCTAGAATCTCCATAAACCCCTTCTGACAAATTATAGTGACAAGTTCGACACAGGTAGGTAGTTGTTTTTTTTATATCACCTTGAAACGTTTCATCTTATCCTCTATCAGATGTTCTAAGTCAAACAGAAAACAATCCAAAAAAAGTTAGTTGAAATTTTTATAATTAATTCCTAGCTATACAATTTCAACTCAGTAGTAAACGAATGGAATTACTCTGCTAAACTATACCTCTCCTCAATAATCTTGACCCATCCATTCTCTAACTACTAAGCAAATAAAAAACACAAGCCTAGTGTGTCACTGAGAGATTGATTTTGATAATTTTATCTCGCGGTGCTAATGTGGTATGAAAACTTGGACTGATGTACATATTTGCCAGATTTTACTTTGTACATGATTGACTAAACTTGACAATGTATTATACAGCTGAATTGATTATCTTGTTTGAAGCAACATGTCCATCAACACGACTAAAAGTTAACAGGTACATTTCTGATATTACTACCAACTACATGTATTAACTTATGATTAAGGGATTTACACATGTATTGCAAAAGAGGTGAGATTGATCAACAGTCGTCCTTTTCTATGACTAAGAAACATTTACACCAATTAATCACTAGTGGCCAAACTGCGATTTCATCGTTAGGATTCAGTCAGCACAGAAGATAAGAGAACAGGATAATGGTTATTACTCAGATGTGAATTTAACAAGTGGTGGGAATATAACACACCTGGATATGATCAGAAATGATAAGTGAATTCATTTCTTGATCTGATAAAAGTTACTAAATATTTGTACACCTAGAGGTAGTTCATATAAACTGCATATATATGAAAACTATGAATTACTCAATATTTATCACAAACCAATGAAAACCATGGAGCATTAGATAAATGTTTCATTCTAGTTTGCAACTATCCAGCAGTCCTGTATGCAAAATAAACTAGAAGTTGTTTTCACACTTCAAGTTATCCCTTTTTTTAGAGGATAAATAGATAACAGATAACAACCAGCGTCTGCAGCGATGCTACCTTCTCACAAGGAAGGAAGGGATTGGAAAATGTTGACCCTAAAAATGTCACACCTCACCTTGCCTCACGGATTTCCGTCTCCGACGGTAAGGCCCTTTGAAGAACGGAGCTAACACATTAAAAACCTTCCACGAAAATGCCGTGCGCGACCGGCCTCAAGCAGTTGTCCTTTGGGCACTGCGGTCACGCTCCCAGGTCGTTAAGACCACCTCTAATCCAATTTCCTTTTCAGGTACCTCCAGAAGAACCCTTCCTCGGTGTAGGCAGCCGGGAAGTGATATCAGCCCTCATACCCGTAACAGCACACGAGACTTTGTTTCACCGTATGACATTTTATTCTGTAAAGCATACGATATTCTTGTGTTAAGTTAACAAGAACTATACCGAGCATGTGACTTGTTATAACCCTGAGTATTTTTTTCATATATGTGATTTTGATCTAATTATTAATCAGAAATGAGTGTATGAATCAATATATAAATGGGTGTATTTCCGGCTAGACTTGTCATGGTTGTTCGTGCTTCTGGCTGCATGTGGAATATATTTCCCTCTTCCGAACTTGGACTTTTCACTCTAGTTAACTGGGCTGGGATGCGTCGGAATAGCTAGCTTATCTGCCATTGTGTCACAAAGTCTTTGTCCTGTTCTCAAATTAGATGAACTCGTAATCTCTTCAAACATAACACTTAGCACATCTAGGTATTGAAATTTACGATTTCAGAAATAATTGAACATAATAACAATAAATGATCTTTTTAATAGTTGAGATCATGAGTCAATTGAAGCCAGACCATCATGGAAAACCTGGAAGCACTGGACGGCTGTGTCGTCCTATTTTGGGACTCATCAGCAGTGCGCATCCACGATCCCGCCTCGCGACATCTCTTCAATTTCTCTTCATAGTTTAATTTCGAAGACAGCACTGTTTCATTTGATTTTGATTTTTTTTGTAGATTAAGTGTTATTTGGCTATACTTCACTTAACATGAATATGATTAATTACATATTTGCATTCAAATATATTCAACATTTGGCTGTCACAAAAATAACAAATAAAAAGTGAAGAAATAATTTTTTACTTACTTCAAGAAAAATTGCTTCTCCTGGATTGAGTTTTAAATAATTAAAAAAGAACAAACTAAAACAACCAACATCTCCAGGGTAATCTGTTGCCAAACGAATGAATATCTCTCCAAGAGCTTCTGTATCAAGAATATAATTTTTAAAAGGTGGGATAATTATCTTTTCACCATTAGTCAGACGTCTTTTCAAAGCTTCCACTAAATTGCTGACCTGTAAAGAAATGAGAAGGTATTGAATTAAGTTCAGATAAATGATTATATTTTAACCGTAAAATTGATAATAAAAAAACTGAGACAACAGTCGGAACTATCATAAACACCTTCATAATAGATCACTTTGTAATCTAGATTGATTTCTAAGAAAATTCCCCACAAAATGTATGCCCATAGTGATTTGGGATGAAAAATACATCCAAAACCACCTCACTCCACGACAGCTTATGTATGCATCAATTGATTTACTATTTCTACATGATAATCTACGTCTTTATTTGGCATTACTCACCAAGGAGTTCTACTATAAAGCGAGAATGCTTTGAAGATATATCTAATTATTTACTTACAACATACGTATGTGCTATGCCACTATTGGTCATGCTTCGAAGTGTACTGAGCTCCTTTATAGTATACTCGATATTCTAAATATCGTCTGCAGACCAAGTGGTACAAGATAAGCAGTGCATTTTGTATATTTGTTAAGATTTTGGTATTCACCAATCTACAATGGTTGATGTGACTCTAAAAGCAAGTAAGTGAATTTCTATGATAGGATTAGATGTTGACACAGATCAGTCCTGGAGGTGACATTTTGGATTTGAGTAGAGAGCAATGGATTCCAAACCTTGTTGTGTTATCACGTAGTTTTCAGAAAACGCAGTCGTCATTTTCGCAAAATTTTCATATCTTACATAAATGAAACGATTTCTGGCTAAGGCATCAATTCCGAAAAGTCGGATTATATGACAAAAGAAACCTTTAAGAGTATACCTATGATAAAAGTAGGTGAAACTGAAGAAAATGTAAATTTTTAAAGAGCAACATTTTCCAAGGAATTAGCCAGCTTTACAGTCTAGTTAGTGAGATTTTGGTGAACCAGAAATATTAAAATAAGGAATTATTTTTTATTACATAAACCAGTAAGTATTTCTTTTTCCTATGCTTACTGTGAATTGGCAGCTTTATTAGAAAACGTGCGTGTACAATGTGGAAACTCTTATTGTGATTCAGTTCTGACTCACCGGAACGACTGATATATGCATAATTTTTAACTCATTTGCTTGGTGCAGATTTAGGCTACACCACAAGTCCGAAGGTTATTTGTGCCAATTGGATGATCAAACCGAAGCAGGTGGAGAGGGTCTCAAAGCCGTGACTTAGTAGGTGAAAGTTGAAGACCCTAACCATTGAACTACCCTCTCTTAAGTGTTCGACCATCACTATCTTTTAAGAGATTACTCCCAGTTGAACTACTACAATAGAATGTCATTTATAGTCCTTTAATTCTGACACATAAGTTAGATCCAAGAATCGTTTGTTACACTTAAAAATGACTGACTGAGCACATCAAAACGAGAGATGATTTAAAGTAAATGACTACTTGGGCTTTCAAAAAACCCTCAAAAAGTTGAAAAATAGTAATCTCTGCATACGTTTTATTGTAAATGTCACTGACGAGATGAAGGTATCAGGTTTCTGCTTATAATTACTTGGCTATTCTATAAACATATCATTGGTATATTTCTTGTACATGAATCCAATCTATCTCTTGCATACTTGGTTAGAATTTTGAAAAAGTAAACTTGTTTATTTTACAGCATAAAATTCCATTTTTCCGAAAACCATATTAAATGCAAACGGAATAAAATAGTCCATGATCATGCACTCTACGCTCTCTAATGTGAATGCTGACCTGAGACTATGTGGAATTATCAGCGCAATTATTCAAAAACTTTGAACTTCTTTGGTAAAGTTAGGATTGACAACACCCAATTTGAAGCAAAAGCCCATATATATTTAACAGTTGAAGATAACAGAATAGATATAGAACAAGTGAAAATGTTTCGTCCATGCCACACGAGAAAAGCTAAAAGAGGTCGACTTACAACACTGGACTCGGCATTCATCAAACGAGAGTAGGCGGCTTTAATTGACGAAGAAGTAAGCGTTTTATCTGTGAAGATATTTAACAAGCCATTTGTAAAATCTGGACCAATAATGGCGTGAAGTTCAGGAATATCTATAGAATGCAAAATGCAACAATCAGGATCAGAAAAATCACTGAAAAATTAGATCCAATCATCAATTTAACTATAACTTCACTCTTTCTTTCAAATCTCATTATATATATTTCCGTCTCGACAGTCCAATAACATCTGCAGTCCTCATACAATAGCTATGATATAACATTAAATTGACTGAATTGGAGTTTATTAACCACTTCCAGTATATCAGTGATTCATCCCGATTGATAAATGTTTGAGTGTGATTAATTAAATTAGTAAAATAATATAGTAGATTTATGGTGTTTTGGCTAGAGAATAAAAAAGTGAACTCAACTGGTGGAACAAATAAGTGAACCTCTTATAGCGATTTCAACGAAAGCTGTAGAAGCAGGGAATACTTAATACTTTTACCTAAAATTTCTTCAACATACCATAACCACTACTAATTGTGAATTTGTATAGAGCTGCTTATTTACACAGTTGTATAGGTACAGAATTTATCACTCAGTGAACTATAAGTTTCGTCAACCGATCGATCAACAAAAAACACGAATACACTATGAACTCAAGTTACCATAACAAGTAAGATATATGTTTTGTACACAGAGGTTAGAATATGTTTCACGGATAGTCCGATTTCCTGCTGCTTTCAGTAATTCCCAAGTAACTGTTGTGAAACCACAACATAACATGCGTTTGCAGAAGTCTGAATATATTAAGTCGCCCTCTGTTGAAAAGTTTCATCTTTGCATTTTTAGTGCGTAACGACCTGTAAAATCCTACAGCAATCTGTCATGGTTTGTATTTTTTTAAAATAAATATTACACCTATAGTTGTATCGTCCCCTTTGCATCGATCAATTGTTTTAAATTCTGAAAATGATATTAGAACTACGTCCATATGAAAAGAAGTCTAAAGATGTTTAATATTACAACTCTAAAACGTCCTTCAAAACAGAATACTCGCAAGTACCAAGACGGTGACTCTAACAAGTGGCTCCAAATAGTTACAGAACGCCAGCATTATATCCCCTTGAGAGCCACTAGAAATGCAGTACAAAAACATTAAATAACAGATATTTGGACAAACGAGATTTAAGCCAATAATTTGGTAACAAGGAATTTAATCTCAACCTGATCGTACTGCTTTTAATGCCTAAGATGTGTTTGAAAGTGTTTTAAAATTATTCATGTAAGAGAGAAGATTCTACTTACGTTTCGCAAAGGCACCAATTTCTTCGGGTGGTCTGAAACCGACCATCGCCTCAAAAGGTGTTAATGCGATAGCTATTTCCGGTTTGTGATTAGCATCTTTGTATAAATCAGGTCTATTAGCATGTAACTTGACAGCATACTCCTAAAACGAGAAAATTAAACTTTTGGGGTAGATAGAATTAACACTTCCCAAATGCAAACCTGTTAGCTTTCCTTGAAAGGAAAACACCATGACAAGGTTTTCATAGCAAGTCATAATGACTAAAACAGAAAACAACGGAAAATAGTAGTAGAAGACTGCTCGCTAAATACAGAGACAAAGACCTCAAAATACATTATTCAAGCAAGGAATTCGACGAAGAATGTCGTGTAAAAGTATACCTTCAGTTAAAACACTTTACAATAGTATAGGAGAAACTCGCCTAAAAAGGAGAAATATTAAAATTGACATGATCAAAATTAAACAAACGAAAGTAACTGAAGGGTTATAAAATGATTGAGACCTAAAGGAAGATAATTAATGAACTGGACTAGGTCACTTCTGTCAGTGAACGCCCATAATTCCATCGGCTAACTGATCTCTTGCAACGAGACCTTATGCGTTATCCCAACATTGGTCTCTTAGTGGTTACACTATATACAATCATTGCTGCGAGAAAGTTAATGATAGGATATGTAACATCTACTCATACTTAGTATCGTTGAAGTATCTTCTATATCACAAACCAGAAAACACCCCAACTTTTAACAATGTCGACAACAGATGTTACATTCAGTGACACCTTTTATTCAAACAGAACAGAAATGAGGTCCTAGGTGAGCTAGGGGTTCAAATAACGGAACGGGTAAGAACTAAGTGGAAAAAGAGCAATTACGAGATTTTGAGTGACATGAAAATTTGTTCATGATAAAATAATGAGCTCTTTGAGTTTATGAGCACATTTCACTAATATATATCACTAATATCGGGTTATTTTTTTAAAAAAAACTAAACGACTTTAAGGTTGCAATAAGTTTTTGTAGATCATTACCACCATCATAAGACCTGGAAATTTTTGAGCCAAGTGTAGAGAATTATCCACATGAGCCCAAAGAACATTTAGAACAACATTGTACAAATCATGGATCATTTACAGACTTTGAAGGTGATTGAACATAGCAAATAGAAAGTTATTTTGCGAAGTGATATCGTTGTACAAAAGTTGCTACATGAGGCTGGCATCTTTAAGTCAACTGCAACTTCATGGTTGTAGTCTTACAGATTGCTTGACAGAAGTTGCAAATTTAAACCGAAACCAGTGGCGACCCTACTGTCGTCCCGATTACATTTTTTATGGGACAAGACTTATTTAACAATGATAATCACAGTTGTGTTGTACACGAAACCGCCTTTTTGCAGAATAATAGTCTCCTTTACTTGTTGGTTATGTCATCCTATCCCATTAAATTACACGGTCATCCTAATTTGAGAGCCGCACCATCTTCTTAAAAATCACCATAATAAATATTTTGTATGGTGGTGAAAATCTGATGGCATATTTGTTTGTACTTTCCAGACTGGGACCGAAGAACTGAGGTTTAAAACACTTGGCCATGGTTGTTGTCCAAAATCTTAAATACTTCTAGGAATCATCTTCCTAGTGTCTTTTGGTCTATATTTTTATTCTCAACCAGTCTGTTATGTACTAACAGTGTTTTTCCTATCTTACAAAAAAATAATCGAGTAAACCTGAAGTAAACAGGCGGATGAGCTTGGGGTGTTTGTCGTTTTGGTCAGTCGGAAGACGGCAAGGATAAATGAATGATTCATGATTTGAATATAATTTTAAGGTTCCTATATTACAGTTAACGGCAGACCTACCTTTAATAATATTTTGATATATGCACCATGGCTTTTATCGTTCTTTTTTGATTAAGGTGTATACTTGAGACTAAACCACAACTGTTATACATGAAAACATCAATAAAGGCGAAGCCAAATCAAGAATAAAATCAGCCACTATCGGATTAATGTGTATGAACTTACCTTGTCTGGATGGGCCTGGATAGATAGCGCCTTTCGCACAGAAAGAACTTTAAACAGAAAAGGTAAAGCATTGCCAAATTTTTCAGACACTGCCGAACCTAAACAGTGTGGATTTCTTGAAATATAGGCGTCAAGAGATATTGAAGGACTATCCATCATGAAAGATGGTCCAGAAACATGAGTCCCCATCCATAGCTATGTGGAAATTTGAACTAGAACGACATCAATTACCTCTGCATACGGCTTCAAGTTATCTAGCTCTTGAGTTTGACTCAGTAGCTTGTAGACCTCACTGTTTACTCCAACTTTACCCCAATCATACACTTGAAAAGCACATTTCAAACGAAACATAACTCGTTAATAAACCTATAGGTCCCGAAACTGACCTAAGTGACCTTGACTTGAAATCTAACATATTTACTATCCAATATTCTTCAAACAGTTTTCAAATATTTCTGGACGGAATAGAAGAAGCTTTCGCTTAACGGGCTTCCATATCTAATAGCGGTGTATAGATAGGATGTCTAATCCTAGATGACTTTAATGCACCTTTGGTAGACTGGGAAAATCTGCGAACTGAATCGTCAGAAAATCCCTTCTAGCAGGAACTAGTTGGTGTAGTTATTACATGTGCATTAGTGTAACATGTGAAAGGAGCGACTAGGTACGAACCGGAGAGTGAATCATCCTAATTGACCTTATATTGGCTTACTATGAGGATGGCATTGCGAACCTCTACTACATGCCAGCCCTAGGTAAAAGTGATCACGCAGATTTAAATTTTGACTTCCATATAACCGTCAATCGCGAGCGCGCGTCAGCTCAATCCAGATCTAACGTTTGGAAAGTAAACATACCAGATATCTTGCACTAAGCGTCGTTAGTAGATCGGAAAATAGACCCAGAGTCCTCAATTGAAACGGCTTAGGAATTATACTTAAAAGTTGCCACACCCCACATTCCTTGGACTACACTAAGGGGGCCGAGAAACTCCCCACCATGGTTCAGTAGGTAGGTCCACATCCTTCTCCGTAAGAGAAGAAAAATAAGGGATAGATTTAGGTTACTGGGGACTGATGAGACAAAGTCTCAGTATCGAAAAGCTCAGAATACCTGTGCCTCGACCCTTCGTAAGCCTAGAAAGTTGTGCGAAGAAAAAACGGTTAAGGAATCTATAGGATGTCCTAAACGCTTGTATCCCTATATAAACCAAAGGATACAAGGAAGAGGAAATATTCCTGCTCTATGGGAAGACAGTACTGTCGCACCATTAATGGAGGATGACTTTGGGAAGGCTCAAGTGTTCTCAAACTACTTTAGCAATGTATATACCACAGAAGCACCCTTCCTGTCAGCGCATACGAATCCCCCCACACATACACAGGATAACGTGACCATCAAAGAACTCGATGTCTTTGGTCTGCTAAATAATCCTGACATAGGTAAATTCACGTAGTCCGATGAATTGCAGCCTTGACTACTAAAGGAGTTATCTAACTTCGTTGCGAACCCTTTAAGTATATGCTTTAATCTATCTGCAACGCAAGGTTGTTTGCCAAAAGACTGGAAGAACGCCATAGTAAGTCCTATCTTCAAAACAGTAACGAAACATAAACCTGAGAATTACCGACCCGTTAGCCTAACTAGTGTGGTTGTTTAAATCTTAGAAAAGATTGCTCGAAAGAGGCTGTTTGAGTACCTCGATGAAACCCGGATCTATTAGGAGAAGCAGCATGGTTTCAGAATCGGCTATTCTTGTCTCACTAACCTAGTAGTGGCTCGTGAAAGCTGTTGCGCTCTCAAGGACCAAAATTTACCTGTAGACGTAGCCTACATTGATTTCAGCAAAGCTTTTGACAAATTTTCGCACAACCGTCTGTTATATAAGTTAAAAATATCAGGGTCGCACGCAATCTATTGATCTGGATAAAATTTTAGCATAGTGTCGAATCCCAGTTGACTATGAACACCACTACAAAGAAACACGTGTCAAATAAATCAGAAGGTGAAGATTGAATGTAACCAGATTTATTCGTTGGCGATTTCGTGGTATCGAACGAATTCCAAGATCGTGCCAAGAAAAGGTACAAGCGGAATCGGCAGGAGAAAGTACGTGCGAACGGGGTCACGAACCGCGAAACAATAATGGAGAGTTATGGAAGCACAAAACGTCTGCCATTAGCACAGTCAAACAAAAGCACATTAAGACAAGCATGGGTAAAATTGGTTATAATAATAATTGTTTTCATTAAATCAATCGTGTTCTCGTGATAAAAGTGAGTCACTACAGGAGCCCTCCGCTAAAAAGGGTGTACACTTTCGATGAGTAGCGGTTTAAATCGTGAGACTGATTGGCTGACGAGCGATTGTAGGACGGAAGAATTGGCGGAACAGGAAAGCGATCATTGATTTTCGAGTTGTCAACGAAGGCCTTTTTCGGAGAAAGGTACCAGGAGCGATGTGCTGTATTTGTTGCTCGAGTTGGCATGTCTCACCGGAATGGTTTGTATCCAGAATCTGAAAATTGCGTTCGTAGGGATGTGGTCCAGAAACGTTGCGGACGTAGGACGAAACCGCGTTGAACCGAGGAACCAGAAGCGACCATAACGACTAAGTTGGAGACCAAGCGTATGCCAAACATTCGAAACCAAAATATCGACTGACTGCGTTGACAAGAGCTTGGGTGATCAGGCCAGCTTTCGCCAAAGTTGACTGAAGTCGACGGTACCAAACGGGGACGGTCGGAGTCGTGGGCTCAGGATAGGAAAGAAATAAAAAAAGAAGAGTGTAGCATGCATGTAGTATAGGAATAGTCCTGCACCGTATCGACTGTCGACTGTGCGGCCGGTCGTGGAAGCGTACGGGCAACCGTACTTGGCGACCGGAACGTGAGACGGTAGTCTCGTTCGTATCTCGTGAGCCTGCAATCTCATCCGAAGTCAAGGGCGGCGTGGTCCGCTGATCTGGACGTGAGACTGTCGTCTCGTCCGTAGATGGTGCAGATGGCGCGTGGTGTTGACCGGGACGTGAAAATGAGGTCTCAGGTGTATCTAGCGTGGGACCTGAAGAAGATTTGAGGATCCCGCTAGTAGGTTTGACAGGTCTAGTATTGAGTCTCAGGTTATCAAATAGAGCATTGTCGTCGACGTGTGCTGGTTTGAGACGATCAATGCTGAGATCTTGACGCGGCCGTGTCGATCAACCTTGAAGGTCTTTTCGTGCCGAGCGATCACGTGAAAAGGGCCTTCTTAAGGCTGTTGCAAAGGTTTGCGTACCGAATCTACTCATATAAAAACATGTGAACAGGTAGATAACTCTCGAGGGAGAGCGACCTGTCGATGTTGTATTCGAGTTGACACCGGAGACAGCGTTCGCATAAATGCAGACAGTCGATGGACGTAGTCTAATTTAGCGAAATCATGTCTGCTCCGTGATGTGAAGAATTCCACGAGCAGACGCAATGTCGTGCCGTATACACATTCAGCGGCGGAACATTGGATATCTGCCTTCAAGCTCGTTCTGATGCCCAAAAGGACGAGCGGTAAGGTTTCGTACCAATTTTTGTTCTCGTGTGCTCGAAGAGCACTTTTAAGTTGACGGTAAAACCTTTCAACTAAACCATTTGAAGTTGACTGGTAGGCGGTAGTGCATATGCGTTCTGTACCAAGCAGCCGCGTAAGTGAGGAGAATAGTGTGGTCTCAAATTGTTGTCCTCGGTCAGTCGTGACAGTCGAGGGACAACCACACAGAGCTATTTATCGTTCTACGAAGCGGTGAGCAACTGTCCCCGCTGTGACAGTATAGCTTCAGGCCATCTGGTGAAACGGTCGATGCACGTGCGTATGTGATCATACCCATGCGATGGTGGCAGTGGTCCTACAATGTCTAAGTGAACGTGATCGAAGCGAACATCAGGCGTAGCGAATGTACCAAGGGGGCGGCTACGTGCCTGTGCACGTTAAGACAAGCATAGGTACAATTGGTTATAATAATAATAATTGTTTTCATTAAATCAATCGTGTTCTCTTGATAAAATTAAGTCACTACAAAATAATTCATAGTTGGGCGCCAACAAAGAGTACGAGTGAACTCAGAGTTCTCTAGCTGGGAAATACTTCCAAGTGTGTTGTGATGCATATCGGTCATCAAGGTACAGATACGTACACGAATAATAACATTGAGCCACCTGTTGTCCAGACACGTAATGACTTAGGTGTCATCGTTAGCCAAGACTTAACGACTACTGCACACTGCCATGCATTAGTCGCCAAAGGTTTTAGAACCTTATGGTCAATACGTAGGGCTTTTAGTCATGTCGACGCTAAAATGTTTTTGACTTTGTATACAGTGTTCGTACGTCCTAAACTTGAGTATTGCATACAACCGGCTAGCTCCTGCTTAAAAAAAGACAGTGGGCTTTTGGAAAAGGTTCAGAGAACATCAAATAAGCTGATTTCCGGAATAGCGAAGCATCCGTATGATGCTGGACTGGCCAAGCTAAACCTCTCCACGTTGTCATATCGTAGAACTAGAGGTAACCTGATTACAGTTTACAAATTGCTTAGTGATAAATTTTTCACCTAATATGCCCTCATTTTTCTTGTCTTCCAAAATAGAGAACTTTCGAGGACACTCCGAAAAAGTTCACAGGCCCAGAACAAATTACTTGTCAGGTGACTATCAACATTCCCATCGAATCATCAACGAGTGGAATTCATTACCTCAGCACGTGGTTGAGGTTCCATCCGTCGACTCTTTTAAAAGAAAGTTGGATCAACTGAGAGACCACCATTGCCAGGACTAACACAGGCAAATGTCAAACTTTCTCCTAAAGGACTTCTAGGAAGTCAATTGGTCTACCACAGCCGGCAGTGAATCCCAGAACTTGACTACTCATCAATAGTATAGGGCGAAGCGGTAAATAAATCCCCACAATCAATAGCTTAGTAAGTCTCCGACATTTGTTGCTGACCTTATTAATTTTAATGGACTCACCTACCTGAAGGCACTCGGCCACGCATCCGAACCAGATCACGAGTGCGCCGTGTTTCGCTTCTTCTGCAATGGCTAACTAGCTTAGATTAGTCATTTCTTGATATATCGATATTCTGTCAAATATACCTTCGAACCTCTTCGCTTCTGAATTCTAATTTCACTGAGTTGTCAAGTTTTGAATCACTGCCAATGATACCAAAATCTTTGCGTTCTCGAATTCAAGGCATTATTGTCTCTTTGATGGTGTCCTGATATCTTAAACAATAAAAGTGCATTTTTTCAGTTCTTTCGGAGCTTCAATATAAGTACAAGTGTTTACGCACTGTATGAACGTCTCTTTATTGGTAATTTACTAA